TGGAAAGGTTTATGTAGCTCCCTGTTCTCCTTACTTCCCTCACAGGGCTGTGGTGAGCATCGAATGAGCTGGTATGTATAACAGTGATTTTTAGGCCAATAAGTGTCATGGAGACATCACTAGAATAGCAATGAGTACTTTCATGTTACATCTGCTACTTTGGAAATCTGCCCTCAAAAGTGTATATGTAAGACTTATTCAGCTCAGAAACAATGTTCAAGTCTTGCCTTTTCTTTAAGACCGATTAAGCTCTGCCTCTTCCAGGAAGTCTTCTCTGACCACCTCAGTCATCATACCACACTGTCTTCTAATTTTTGTAGCATGACATAGCATGAGTTCCTCATCTTCTTACCTCTCTCATAGCCTGTGAAACCTCCCATTGTTATTTACCCTTTTCTGAACAAGTCCTGTCTTATCCAGATTGTCCCTTAAGGCAGAGCACAAAGCTTTCCATGAACAGTAGATGTTCAATAAGCATTTGTCATGTGGTGGTGTGGTAGGCAGAATAATAGACCCCTAAAGATGTCCACATCCTAAGCCTTTGAATACGTTACCTTGCATGGCAAAGGGGAATGAAGGTGGAATTAAGATTGCTAATCAGTTGACCCCAAAGTAGGGAGATTATTGTGGATTATATGGGTGTCCTAATGTAATCATAAGGATCCTTAGAAATGGAAGAGGGACACAGAAGTCAGATTGATGAGATGTGAAAAGAACATGACCTACTATTACTGACTTTGAAGACAGAGAAAGGAAGCCAGGAGCCAAGGAATGTGGGCTGGAACTTCTGCCCTAGAGCCTCCAGAAAGTAATGCAGCCCTGTCAGCACCTTGATTTTAACCCAGTGAGAGCCAATGCAGAATTATGACATCTAGAACCATAAGATAATGATAAGTGTGTGTTGCTTTAAGTCACAAAGTTTATAGTAATTTGTTACAGCAGCAATAGGGAAGTAATACAGATGGTAAAGAAAAGACTTTCCTGCAACCATATTTACTGGCTCTGAACTGACTACCCGTAGCCCGGGAAAGAAGATAGGCCGGGTGCAATGGCTCATACCTGCAATCCCAGCATTTTGGGAGGCTGAGGTGGGCGGGTCACTTGAGTTCAGGAGTTCGAGACCAGCCTGGCCAACATGGTGAAACTCCATCTCTACTAAAAACACAAAAAATTAACCTGTCATGGTGGTGGGCACCTGTAATCCCAGCTACCTGGGAGGCTGAGGCAGGATAATTACTTGAGCCCTGGGGGCGGAGGTTGCACTGAGCTGAGATCACGCCACTGCACTCCAGCCTAGGTGACAAAGCGAGACTCCATCTCAAGAAAAAAAAAAAAAAAAGAAGATAAAGCCACAAGATTTCAGAGCTAAAGGCTGACAATGTGTAGTCCCTACCATCAACACAACTGTGGATAAATGCATTAGAACTATTTTGGTTGCAAGTAAAGCAATATGTAAACGATTGGCCTTTTAAATAGGAAATGCAACTGCTTTAAAAAAAAATCCTTTTCCTTTGTTGTATTAGGAGCACTTAACACATGGGACCTCTCCCAGAACAGAATGTAAATATTTGCCCTCCCTTCTGGAGAATACAAGATGAGACCATCTGAATTTTGAAGACTGAGCCCTCTTTGCAGTTAAGAAAAAGATTTTCATGGTTAAGACTTTGGACTCTGCTTTGAAGCTCTTCACCATGGGTCATCAAGGTCTCTCAGTAAAAAAAAAAAAAAGAAAAGAAAAATAAATTGGTTGCTCCCCTGGCTTTGGAATTTCAACCCCTTTGGACATAACCATGAAATAACTGGTCATTTAACAGTTTCATGGTTCCATTTCTAAAATCAGACAATGTTGCTTTCAATGAGACCACAGCAGATGAGAGGCAGAGCAGAGTGTAAGCAGGTCAGATTGGCAGTTACCTAGGTAGGTTGTACGGATTTTTTTTTTTTTCTGAGAAATTAGAAATTCTATTCCTCCTCTCCAAGCCACTAAAAAACAGCCTTTTCATTAGTGTGTTATAAGGCAGAAAAATTTTACCATTTGGAATTTTTCCTTTGAGAAAAGCTTTGTTCCTGAAAGCTATAGTTAAATTCCATTGTTACCTTGTGGTGGTGGAGGGATAAGTGGGCTTGGTCTTCTGTCCAAGGGAGAAAGAGAAATAACCCATCAACCCACGGTCACCTGTTGCTCATTATATTTTCACCAAGAGTAGGGTCCAGAGAGAAACGGACCTAAGAGAGGTAAACTTGAAGGTGAAGTAAAAACAGAAAGATTTGTAACAGGGGCATCTGACAAGAACTAATAGAACAGGATACTGCAGCAGTGGACTTTGAAAAATAGGAGTGCATTGGGCATTTGGAGGTGGGCTGAAGCCAAAGTGGGTGCCCAAGTGGGGAAGCTTGACAATCCATTCGATCCATCCAACAGTGCCCTCCCCTGACCTACTGAATCAGAATTTTCATTTTAGCAGGACCACCAGGTGGTTCATACCCATACTAAATTTGAGATGCATTGCCCTAAGGTGTCTGCAACCCACAAGGGCTTAAAAACTACTGACTTAAGCAGGTTTGGAAAAAGATTAAACAGAAAAAAGTTGGAACCTGATCTCAGAAAACTGTTAAATTAAATTCTTTCCTCTGTTCATTTAAAGATTTGTCTTTTAAGAAACAGTTTTTAAAAATCAACTTTTCTTTCCTCCTTTGCTTAAATCTTCACAAACCACAAACAAGCTTACTTTCGTTATTGCAGGAAAAGCCTGAATTTACTTGGATAAACATCAAAGGTTCCTGTTAGAGTCCTCTTTTGATCGTTAAGAAGATACAAAAGCAAACAATAACAAAAAATCCCCAAGAGACCTTTGTTTAAGATATCAATTTGTCTTAGTAATTGTCATAAGTCATAAAAGACCTGGGAGACAGCAGGCAGGAGGTCATTAGGTTCACCACTCAATTTTCAGGCAGGTCAGAACTCGAAGTGGACAATTATCTTTTAAAAAACCTCTGAGGAACAAAACATGGCCATTGCTCTGACTTAAAGCTCTTACACTCAGAAATCTCAGTTAGAAGTCAGCTTAGGGCCAGGCACGGTGACTCATGCCTGTAATCCCAGTACTTTGGGAGGCCGAGGTGGGCGGATCACAAGGTCAGGAGTTTGAGACCTGCCTGGCCAACATGGTGAAACTCTGCCTCTACTAAAAACACAAAAACTAGCTGGGCATGGCGGTGGCATGCCTGTAATCCCAGCTACTCAGGAGGCTGAGGCAGAAGAATCGCTTGAACCCAGGAGGCAGAGGTTGCAGTGAGCCGAGATCATGCCACTGTACTCCAGCCTGCACGACAGAGCAAGACTCTGTCTCAAAAAAAAAAAAAGAAGAAGAAGAAGTCAGCTTAGGCCATGCACAGTGGCTCACGCCTATGATTCCAGCACTTTGGGAAGGCTGAGGCGGGTGGATCACCTGAGGTCAAGAGTTCATGACCAGCCTGGCTAACATGGTGAAACCCTATCTCTACTAAAAGTACAAAAATTAGCTGGACGTGGTTAATACCTGTAATCCCTGTAGTCCCAGCTACTCGGGAGGCTGAGGCTCAAGAATTGCTTGAACCTGGGAGGTGGAGGTTGTAGTGAGCTGAGATCGCACCACTGCACTCCAGCTTGGGTGACAGAACCAGACTCCATCTCAAAAAAAAAAAAGAAGTCAGCTTAGCTCCCTAGCCTTTTCTAAGTCTGTTAATCTAATGGAAGGGATCACCCTTTTCTCTCTCATAGGTGGTCCAGCCAGGCCCATGAATATGTGCCTATCGCCTGAAAAGAGCTAGCCAGGCTGGAGAGAGAGCAGGTGATAGACAATCTTTGAGTAAAGATTGACAATGTGTTTCTGTCTTGGAACTAACCTCTCTTCACTCTGATGTTTGCTACCATTGAGTAGTTTCCTGGTAGTACAAGAAGAGAGAGAAAAGCCAACTGTGGGAGAAAGGAGTATTTTATTGTTTTATACTTGGTCTCTTAGACAGGTGTAGTTTATTTCAAAGGGGGAAAATGAATGTCTTTAGGAGTTTGAAATAAGCTCTATTTTCTCAGTGGAAACTTGATTCTATTGGAGTTTTTAGAGACTCAATCAGAGAATAAAGTGAGTGTTTATTCATTCAATGTTAATTCAACATTTATTAAATATTTAATTTTGAACGGGCATTATGTTAGGAGCTAATGATACAGAAGTAAGATGAACAAGTTTCTTGTCCTCAAGGAACTTACATTCTGGTGGGAGGGACAGATAAAAACAACTAAAAATAAAAGTATTTCAGGTAGTAATGAGTGCTATGAAGAAAACTGAAACAGGAAAGGGAGAAGGGAATGATGTGTGTGTGGTAGAGAGGCTATTTATTTATTTTTTCCTTTAATGTAAGCCTCTTTATGTTCATTAAAATGCTTTCTGAAATTGGTCACTTTTAAAAGGCCGTCCAAACACTTCAAATCTGTGGGTTTATGGAGGAGCATTAGCCAGCAGCTAGTTTCTATTCCTAGCAGAGTTTTGAACTTGAATTGTGATAGACGCATTCAACATTATCAGGGGTAGTGGGTAGGGAAAGTCCAAATCTCTGCCAGTCCCAAATCCATAGAGTTGTCATTTCATTCAAGAGAATTAAATCGTTTATTGATTACATATGATAATGGATGCTACACAAGCTTCATTCCCATCTATAATTTTATCTGGTACCATTATTCAACTTAGATATATTGCATAGGATGTGCCAGCAATCATTTTTATAACCAATAATTCCATGATTTTGCTTGGGTAGTCCCTTTTAATGGTGAACTTCAGGTCACAACAGTAACTGTCAGTTCAACTACACCAAGGTTTCTGAAGACAATGGCTTCTCCACCCAAGCAGGTTGTATATAGATTCCAAATAGAACCCGGCATCACCCTGAAGGAATTCTAACTTCAAACTGTTGGGGAAATTTACCAAGATGGCTTCAGAGTAGACTAACTTTACACAGCACATTTTAAAAAAAGACATTTATTCAGTGTCACGATCAGACTGTTACATTTAGCAATCAACAACATGGGTGCAAAAAAATAAAACTACATTAAAACCCTTTGTTGGAATGCTTTACATTTTCCACAGAACAGAAAATAAAACAACCTGTTATACAATTAGTCACAAATACAATCCTTGAGTTTTTTGCCCATACACATGAGTATTTGTCTAAAATATGTCTTCTTTGTAGCAGCTAGGCCCTGCCACCACTGTGCTTGGCTGAGTTCACAAATCTGTTGTAACCTGTAGCTTCCCTGTCACTTCTCTGGCTCTCCACTCCTGCTAAGCTTTGTTTCCTAATTAAAATCTTCTGCCACTGCCATAGCTACTGCTGCTACTGGAACCGCCATAGACACTGTGGTTCGGTAAAGTATTGGCCTCCACCACCATAGGGGCCAGAGCTTCTGCCCCAAAGTTTCCTCCCTTCATGGGTCCAAAATTTGAAGACTGATTGTTGTAATTGCCAAAATCATTGTAGCTTCCACCACCTCCAAAATTGCTTCAATCATTACCAAATCCATTATAGCCATCCCCACTGCCACCATATCCACCACCACCACGGCTGCCACCAAAGCCACCACGACCACTGACATTTCCTCCATGACCAAAGTTGTCATTCCCACCGAAACTACCTCCACAACCACCACCAAAGTTTCCAGAACCACTTTGACCTCTTTGGCTGGAAGAAGCACTAGCCATCTCTCGCTTTGACGGGGCTTTCCTAACTTCACAGTTGTGGCCATTCACAGTATGGTATTTTGGAATGACAATCTTATTCACGGATTCATGGTCGTCAAAGGTTACAAAGGCAAAGCCCCTTTTCTTGCCACTGCCTCAGTCAGTCATTATTTCAATCACTTCAATTTTTCCATGCTGTTCAAAATAATCTCTTAGGTGATGTTCTTCAGTGTCTTCTTCAATGCCACCAACAAGTTATCTTTTTCACAGTTAAGTGGGCACCTGGTCTTTGACAATCTTCTCTTGAGACAGCTCTCTTTGGTTCTACAACTTTTCCATCCACCTTGTGTGGCCTTGTGTTCGTGGCTGCATCCACCTCCTCCACAGTGGCGTATGTAACAAACCCAAAGCCCCTGGAGCGCTTGGTGTTTGGATCTTTCATTACCACACAGTCTGCGAGCGTTCCCCATCGCTCAAAATGGCTCCTCAGGCTCTCAACGGTTGTTTCAAAGCTCAAACCTCTAATGAAGAGCTTCCTCAGCTGTTTGGGCTCTTTAGGAGACTCTGACTTAGACATGACGTAAGGGAGAAGAGAGACTATAGTGATGCTTCTTGGGTGGTGTCCACAGGCAGAAAGAAGCAAGCTGACAAACGTATCTGGAGAGGCTATTTTAAATAGAGTGATCAGGGAAGGCCTTTTTGAGAAGGTGGCATGTGAGATAATATGTGTATGCTGAGAAGGGAACAGCCAGCCTTCTTTAGGGTTCTAGACAGAAAGACTTGCCATGTACAAAGGACCTGAAATGAAAATCAGTTTAGTGTGCTAGAGGAACAGCAAGAAGGCAAGAGTTATGTGTTGAATTGTGTCTCCCAAAAAAATCATATGTTGAAGACATAACCTCTAGTGCCCTAGAATATAACCTTATTTGAAAATGGGGAACTGGCTGGGTGCGGTGGCTCATGCCTGTAATCCTAGCACTATGGGAAGCCGAGGTGGGCTGATCAAGTGAGGTCAGGAGTTCGAGACCAGTCATGGCCAACATGGTGAAACCCCATCTCTACTAAAAATAGAAAAATTAGCTGGGCATGGTAGTGTGTGCCTGTAGTCCCAACTACTCGGGAGACTGAGACACAAGAATAACTTGAACCCGGGAGGTGGAGGGTGTAGTGAGCTGAGATTGCACCACTGCACTCCAGCCTGGGTGACAGTGCAAGACTCTATCTCAAAAAAAAAAAAAAAAAAAAAAAAGAAAAGAAAAGAAAAAGAAAAAAGAAAAAAAGAAAGTAGGTACCTTATATATGTAATTAGTTAAGATGAGGTCATACTGGAGTAGGGTGGCTCCTAATGCAATATGACTGTGTCCTTGTGAAAAGGGGGCAGGTTTTTTACTTTTTTTTTTTTTTAATATTTTTTTAGAGACAGGGTCTTCCTAGATCATCCAGACTGGTCTCGAACTCCTAGCCTCAAGCAATCTTCCTGTGTCAGCCTCGCGAGTAGCCATGATTACAGGTGTGAGGCACTGTGCCTGGCTAAAAACGGGGAATGTCTGAATGCAAACATGCGCAGGGGACAACACCATATAACAATGAAGGCAGAGATCAGGGTGATGCTTCTATAAGCCAAGGAATGCCAAAGATAGCCAGCAAACCACCAGAAGATAGGACACAGGCATAGAACAGATTCTTCCTCACAGTCCCCAAAAGGAACAAACCCAGGCAGATGTGGTGGCTCACACCTATAATCCCAGCAATGTGAGAGGTTGACGTGAGTGGATAACTTGAGCCCAGGAGTTTGGGACCATCCTGGGCAACATGGTGAAACTCCATCTCTACAAAAAATTACAAAAATTAGCCGGGCATGCCTGTGGTCCCAGCCACCTGGGAGGCTGAGGTGGGAGGATCACCTGACCCCAGGAGGTTGAGACTGCAGTGAGCCATGATTATGCCACTGCACTCCAGCCTGGGTGACAGACTGAGACCCTGATAAGGAACAAATCCTGCCTCAAGAAGTATGAGGCAACACATTCTGGTATTTAAACCACTCAATTTGTGATACTTTGCTATGGCATCCCAGCGAATGAATACAACCAGAGTTGCTGGACAGAAGTGAGGGTAGGTGGGGAGAGGTGAGTTCAGAGAGGTAGACAAAAGTCAGATTACCTAGGGCTTTGCAAATGGACCTAAACTCATTGTTTTTGGTAGATTTAGGAAGCTTCTGAAAATTAGAGGTAGGTGAGGACCATAAGTCACCTCTCCTACCTCCTTACTAGGTAGAATATTGTAATGAAGGTAATTGTCAGACTGAATTCTATGACACATACAGCTATTAGCAATCAGGGATCAAAACAGTCATACAGTCTCTCCTTGTAAAGTCGGTCAAGTACAGGTTGGTGCAAAAGTAATTGCGGGTTTTGCCATTAAAAGCAATGATGAAAACCACAATTACTTTTGCACCAACCTGATACATGCTCTCTGATCTTTAGGAACTCCAGCAAGCTCTTTGCATAAAAAATCTACATGAAATACTCGGCCTAATATTATGGTAACAGGATCAACCTATCTTCTGGTTGGAACAGGAAAATCTTCTATTAAGTAATACTATTTATTTTATTTATTTATTGCTGTGTTACAAATTACCCCCAACATGTAGTGGCTAAAAACAACATTTATTATCACTAGGGACATCTGGCAAACTGGCTCTATAAAGGATCACACAGAGTCTGAGGCCTAGATGCCATTCCAGAACATGCTGAACTGTTGGGCTGGCATGCCAGATTTTTATCTTTTATTCATGCAAGCATTGAGGTACATGGACAAAATTTCTAGCCATTGCACATATTTTTAACAGAATTCAATTCATCAATGAAATATTATTTCTTACATCCTTTATACTACTTAATGGACTCTCTGGTACAAGGTTTCCTTCCCTGAGGTTCTGTGAATAGAATTTAGGGGGGTTCTTTGGACTTTGATGGGAAAAATTACACCTTTATTTTTATTCATTTCTAATTGAATGTAGTCAACAAATCACGGTCTTATTATCAGTGTCTGCAACTTTCTCACCAACATATATCAAAGATATTTTCATATCACGTTATAGCTGTTGCAAATATCTCATAAGATCAGTTATGCTCATCACTATTTAAAAATTGTGATGATTATAGACCTGCTCTAGTTGTGTTATTTGCTAGGTTAATAAAAAAAGAACACACAATATTGTTAAAATGTCCATGCTACCCAAAGTGATCTACAGAGCCAATACAATCCCTATCAAAATTCCAAGGATATTTTTCACAGAAATAATAATAAAAAATACTAACATACACATGGAACCACAAAAGGCACATAATAGCCAAAACCAAACTGAACAAAAAGAATAAAACTGAGGAATTATGCTACCCAACTTCAAATTATACTGCGGAGAGATAGTAACCAAAACAGCATGGTAATGGCATAAAAACAGACATATAGACTAAGGGAACAGAATAAGAGCCCAGAAATAAATCTACACATTTATGGTCAATTGATCTTTAACAAAGGTACCAATGGGAAAACGGCAGTCTCTTCAATAAATGATTTTGGGGGCCAGGCATGGTGCTCATGCCTATAATCCCAGCACTTTGGGAGGCCAAGGCAGATGGATTACTTGAGGCCAGGAGTTTGAGACCAGCCTTGGCAATATAGTGAGGCCCTGTCTCTATTTATAAAAAAGAGAAGAAAGAAAGGAAGGAAGGAAGGAAAGAAGGAAAGAAGGAAGGAAGGAAGGAAGGAAGGAAGGAAGGAAGGAAGGAAGGAAGGAAGGAAATTTAAAAAAATTAATGATGTTGGGAAAACTGGATATCCACATGCAGAAGAATGAAATTGGACCCTTGTCTTATACTATGTTAAAAAAAAAAAAACCTCAAAATGGATTAAAGACTTAAACATAAGGCCTGAAACTGCAAAACTACTAGAAAAAAACAATGTAAATGCTTCTTGACACTGGTCTAGAAAATAAATTTTTGGATATGACCCCAAAAGCATAAGCAAAAATAGACAAATAGAATTGCACTAAACTAAAAAGCTTCTGCACAGCCAAAGAAATAATCAACAAAGAGAGACAATCTACAGAATGGGAGAAAATATTTGCAAACAGTATATCTGATAAGGGGTTAATATCCACAATATGTAAGGAACTCAAACAACTCACTAGAAAGAAAACAAATAACTCAATTAAAATAGTTTGAATGAATGAATAAGACCTAGTATTTGATAGCAAAACAGGCTGACTATAGTCAATAATAATTTAATTGTATATGTAGAAATAACTAAAAGAGTATAATGGGAATATTTGTAACACAAAAGTTTAAGGCTTGAGGGGATGGATATCCCATTCTCCATGATGTGATTATTACACATTGCATGCCTATATCCAAACATCTCATGTGCCCCATAAATATGTATACCTACTATGTACCCACGAAAGTTAAAACTAAAAAAAATTAAAATAAATGTAAAAAAAAATTAAAAATGAGCAAAGGATCTGAATAAACATTTTCAAAGGATGACAAACAAGTGGCCAACAGGGATATAAAAAATATAATGTCCAACATCGCTAATCATCATGGAAAGGCAAATCAAAACCACAATGAGATATCACCTCGTACTTGTTAGGATGGCTATTTTCAAAAACAGGAAAGATAACAACTGTTGGCGAGGGTATACAGAAAAGGGAACCCTTGCATACTGTTAGTGGGAATGTAAATTAGTACGGCCATTATGAAAAACAGTAAGTGGTTCCTCAAAAAATTAAAAACAGAATTACCATATGATCTAGCAATCCCAATTCCAGGTATATATCCAAAGGAATTGAAATCAATACGTTGAAGGCATACCTTCACTCTCACATTCATTGCAGCATTCTTCACATTAACCAAGATATGGAATCAACTGTCCACCAATGGATGAATGGATAAAGAAAATGTGGTATGTATGCACAACAGAATACTATTCAGCTTTAAAAGAAGAAAGAAATCCTTTCATTTGTGACAATATGGACAAACCTAGAGGATATTACACTAAGTGAAATAAGCCAGGCACAGAAAGATAAATACTGCATAATCTCACTTATGTGTGGAATCTTAAAAGTTTGAACTAGTAGAAGCAGAGAATAGTGACTACTAGGGATTGGGGTGGGAGAAATGGAAAGATGTTGGTCAACGTGTGCAAAGTTTCAGTGAGGATGAATCATTTCTGGAGATCTATTGTACAGCATGGTGACTATAGTAAATAATAATGTATTATATATTTGAAACTTGCTATGAGAGTAGATCTTAAATGTTTTCACCACACAAAAATGATAAGTATGTCACTGTTGGTGGGGATGTAAATTAGTACAATCTCTACCAAAAAAACAGTATGGAGATATCTCCAAGAACTAAGAAGGGAACTACCATTCAGTCTAGCTATCCCACTACTATCTATCCAGAGGAAAAGAAATTATTGTATAAAAAAGACACCTGCACTCATATGTTTGTCACAGCATTATTTACAATAGCAAAGACATGGAACCAACCTAAGTGTCCACCAACAGTTGATTGGATAAACAAAATGTGGTGGAGATATACCATGGAATACTACACAGTCACAATAAAGAACAAAATAATGTCATTTGCAGCAACATGGATGCAGCTGAAGGCCATTATCCTAAGTGAACCAACACAGAAGCG